TAACTTGAGTGTGGAGGTGTGCTTTCCATCAAACCTAGATCACTATATCGAATTGTGATACACATGGAAACCAACTCAATGGAGTTTGGGAAAGACCTTCACTAATATCTTCACTATAATAATCAGAATTCCTTGATCATAAACAGTTGAGAGGAAGAGGAAAAAAGGAACCAATTTTAAGTTATATTGGATTTATATGCTCTGATGCAAAGATGCTTATAAGAGTGAATGGTTTTGTGGTACATATCATCGCTTACATCACAGATCATGATCTAGCTTCCATCCAGTTGGCATAGAGGCTGCCTGAAGCAAGGCACTACTGACTGAGATTGTCCATGCTATTAAATATGGCAAGCTACAGTAATCTAGGCCAGCATTTCTCAAACTTTTTGTTCACGTGACCCAATATATTTGTTTGTAATGGTTTAGCAACCCAAATGTTTATAATATAAAATTTTTAGAAAATCTGGTTAACTGGAGTTACTGTATATTATAAAATAAAATAAAATTATGCATTATTGATAATAACTTCTATGTATGAAATGGAACATTGAGTAAATTTCTATTAAGAGAGATTCAGGTCAATTTTGATTTTTAACAACTAACTAACTTCAATTTCAGTTTTTATCATTGAAATTTAGCTATTAAAAAATGTAAGACCAATGACTGCAAATAAAACAGACTGTTTCAAAATTATTCAGGAGTCCATTTTACTTTGAAAAATATTACAAGTTTTTTTTATAAACTTAACAAACCCTTTTTTAAAATGTACTTTTCAGATTGTAAGATTTTGTCAATTTCATTTTATATATACAGTGGGTGATCAGTTAATGAACATAATCCGTTCAAAGACTTTGTTCCCTATCCGAATTGTAGCCGTTTTGCAAAGAATATATATGGAAAAATAAAAATCAAGTTTAAGTCATTTTATTTGACTTTACATCTGTCTGTCACAAATATCACTAGAAAAGTGTTAAAAGCACAAAATCATGTTATTGTACAATAAATAAGAATAAAAGTATATAAAATCATATAATCCTTGTTTGAACAAGAGCAAGTTCTCCAGTATCACTAAAAGTTCTGCTACTTGCTAATTCATACTGGAAACCAGACTGATCTCATTCTATATATAATGATCAATTTAATTTTTGAAATATTAACAAAATATTTTATTATTGTTTTCAATATTTCTTGTTCATTGTCTCACCTTTTTTGGTAATAAATTTGGTTATTTTTTGACTTGGAATTTTTTTCTTCATGAAGTGATTTGTATAGATATGATTGACTTTAAAATTGCTGCTATTAAAATTTGCAGCTCTTTAATTGCATATCTTCAAATTATAGTTGTAAATTTCAATTAATTTATCACAACTTGAATAATAATAGGCATGCATTAATTTCTTTCATTGTAGAAGTTTGCTTATCTTATTGCTCATTTGTTATGAATTTATATACTTGTTCATCTTTTATCATCATTATTTAATTTTAGATACAATTTGAATATTGTTTTGTTTTAACAACCATCATTCTTCATTTAATGCTTGCATAGTGGATGGAATAAACAACTAGTGCTTTTAGAATGTTTCGTTTTACAGTCAATCTTTGCTGAATGTGCCTTATCTAGACTGCCATTAGTCTCTTTATTCTCATAATCTTATTTAGCCTCCAAAACATCAAGATTAACTCGAACTTCTAAATTGTATGGTAAAATGGAATATATAATGATAAAATTTATAAATACATGAAAATAGGAATTGTATGGTAAAGTAGAATATATATATATATTAGAATGAGCCAAAAGTTACTAGAATTGGCATTAGGAAATCAAATTGTTGCACACAGATTTTAATGACTTCCATGGTTGAGACAGTCCATTTGTGTGATTTACATCATTGCTGAATAGCATGTTATCCTGTCACACAGATCTGTTGCATTGCACCAGAAAGGAAACAATGACTATCACAATATTCAGACACTTGGCTACAAGAAATATTCACAATGGGTCCCAAATGAACTGATGAAGGCATGGAAGATGAAACAGATGATTGCTTCACTGCTGCAGCTGTTTTATTTCACCAAGAAAAAGAATGATTTATTACAAGAATAGTAACCAGAAATAATCTTGTGGCAACAATCAATGGAATGGAGACATCCTTTTCTTCTTGACTCAAGAAGGTTTGGGGTCAATAAGACACCAGAAAGATTATGGTAATCTGCTTTTTTGATGAGGAAGGCCCTCAACTCATTAACTACTTAGAAAAGAGCCTTTCATCAATACAAATTATTATTGCATGGTCCTTGACCATCTTCAAGCAACTGTAAATTCAACAGCAGACAAAACTCAGCACAAGCCATGTAGTACAACAATGCACACCTCCACATTGCACTTATCATCCAAGACAAACTGCAGAAGTTCAGCTGGAGACACTTAAGCATCCATCTTTTCCTCCAATACAGCACTCTGTGACTACCATGTCTTCAATGATGGTACTCACAGTGACTTCTGAAGAAGATACTTCATGTTGGATAATGATTTCATATTCATTGTTAAGTATTGATTTCAAGAACTACAGACTTTCTTTGACAACAATATCCATAGACTAATCACAAAGTGGGATAATTGTCTAAATGGCAATTACTTTTAATTGTACTCACATTTTCCTGAAAATATTATGCAAACTCTAAGAACTGTTGGCTCATGTCAATATATATATTGTTTTATGAAAGGAAATAAAAGTACTAGCAGTCCTCAGCTTTGAGATAACACATTTATGTTTAATGCAGTTTATTAATTATAGAAAATCTTAATACTATAAGCTGTTTTTCAGCATTACAGGTTTTGAAGGTGTTTTGTGCATTGTAAAGAGTTCAGTTAATGGACTATTTTCAGGGAATACAGTAGATCCCCCTATAAAACCGTTTCCTATAGTTATGATTCCTATAAAAATTGTGGCAGTACAGTAGATCCCCCTATAAAACCGTTTCCTATAGTTATGATTCCTATAAAAATTGTGGCATTATCCGTAAACAACGGTAAAAATAACTCCTATAATACGTAAAACGTCATCGGGCAGCCGAACTACTTACCCGCCGTCCGTAGCGCCACGCTACGGAGAGATTTCTATCGTCTGGACAGTATTATATAAATTATATATAAATTAGGTACTGTACATATAATTATATATTAATTATATATAAATTAGGTACTGTATATATAATTATATATTAACTTAATTTATTGTAACTTTATTATAATTAAATATATATTTTTCGCCGTCTAGCGTCACGCTACGGCGAGTTAGGCGACCTATCGTCTGTTTAGTACTGTAATTTTATACATTTCTTGTGAAAGAAACATTTCTTATTTAACGGCCATAAAAATTATTTATATTAATGATGTCTCCAAAGGTCAACGAAGTTTTCGCAGAAAAATAATATCAGAAATCGCGGCCGCAATTTGATGCGCTGTTCCGCGACGAAACCAAGCTTTAGCAACGAGCGTAGTCAAAGGGTACACACTCGGTAAGTAATCCTACAATTTTTTGTTTATAACGTAGTTTATACGGATTATTTTAAAAAAAATATACGTATTTTGGAAATGTTGAGTCGAATTAGTCTAGAATCGATTAATTTTATGAAAGAAAACCTTTCAAACAGCCGTAGTCCGTAAACTATGATTCCTACAAAATTGATTCATAAAGAACGGAACGTATCTACCGTCTTATAGGGGGATCTACTGTATATGTATCATGCTCCTTAAAAATAGTGCATTACCTGTATAAAACCTTGTAATTATATTTTTAATTGGAATAAAAAACAAAATAATTAAGTTATGAAAATAAAGAACCAATTACTTTGAAATATCCGAAATACAAGAGAATCAGAGCCATTTCAATGGGTAAGACCAAGAAGTGACTGTCTTAAGCAGCAAAATAACTAGTCAAAAATGTTCAAAAGAAAGAAAAAAATAAATAAATAAGCTAAATACAGTAAATGTACTGTACATTAAAGTTGTTTATAAATTGTTCATACAAGATTGTCTTTACTAAAAGTGCTCTGTATTATTAAACATTCTAGAAATGGCTGGAACAATTAAGGTGGCATACCACTCCAGACAACCCAGTTCAAATCCAGACAAGTTGATAAATCCCCAGGAATTTTTTGGGGGGTGGTCCGTCCAGATATGTCAGGTCTCAACTGCCTCATTGCAAGCCTGGCCAAACCTATAATGGACTTGCTAAAAGAGATCCTCTTAGGGTGCAACTATGCAGACACGAGCGAGAATATGTGACAAGAAGAGGTGATGATGTTTCATCCTTTCATTTATTACAACCACACAGATGAGAGAGAAACAGAGAGCATGAAATGTCATCACCTCTTCTCACTCGCTCATGTCTGCATAGTCGCACCCTTAGTGCCCATAGGGTAGAAAGAGTTAAAAAAAAAAACTATTCCAGAAGAGGAGAAGAAACCATTCATCTCAAATACAAGTTACCATCAAGCCAACACCAAAGAGAATACCAATAAGATAGCTAAACAATTTTTTAGTAAACATATAAATTTAATTATTAATAAAATAAAATATAAACTATTACTAAAATCATTGCTATCATTTCCATCTCACTATTCCGACATTAGATAATACAGCTGTCATAGGAAAGACTATTACATAAAAAAATATAATTAAATGTAGCATGTATAATATATAACCAGATTAGTTAAATAACACTGCTTTAATTTATAAACAATTTAAAATCACTTGTAAATTGATTATATAACTTTACAATTATTTAAAAGTGTTTTAATTTACACAAATGTGTCACACATTTAGTAAAATTATAAGCAGAAAAACATAATATAAGGTGAATAAGGTCATTAACTATATAAAAACTCATTGTGTATGCAATAATTCATTAAATGATACAGGTGTGATGTTTATATTTAAGAAATTGATAAAAATTAATTGAATAATTTGTTACATTTAGCAATATTTCACTTACAGAAGCCCGTAGTACTATATTGCGATAATATTGCAGCCATATTTTGAGAAGAGAAGAGAAATTAAACAGAATTAAACGAAGACATTTTCTTTCAAAATGATTAAGAAGATTCGAATCAGAAGATGGCCACCTAACGGCATTATAAAATATTTTTTAAAATATGGTAAAATATTAATATAAATTTTCACTTTTATATTTTTATTTATTTTTTATTAAGATATAAAATATGTATATTAGTTATATTAAATATATATAATAACTAAAAAAAATTAATTTTTAAATACTGTAGTTATGAAATAATATAAACGGATGAAAGACTCTTATTGGAAGACGAATAATCATGTGACTTATTTAAACAAATTATTTATAACAAACGAAATTCGTTTGTTATAAATCTTTTATTGTAAATAATGGCTTTTTTAATAATAAGAATTAGGTCGTATTATCCAACTACAAAAAAACCCACGGAGAAGGGTGAGACCTTTACGACGGTTCCGTGTCTTCTAATGGAATTTCATTTCCTGTAACTAACTTCATCTGACAGAAGCATTCGAAAATATTTTTGGAATTTGTTCCTTTTTTCGGGATATAATTGTTAATTTTGTTTTTATTTTGGAATCATTTTTGGGAGTAAAAAACATTAATTCGTTAATTGCCAACGTTCGTTTAACCCAGAAAGTTAACCTTGCAAAGTAAAAAAATGAAATTTTTCGCATTGTCCAAGAAGCATTAAAAAATTTCATTAATTAACCAAAATTTTCTTACATATATCAAATAGAAAACTCTTTGGTATCGAAATTACTAAATATATCATTTCGCAATGCAAATTACATTGTTATCGCCAAATCGTGTAAGTTGAAAACTTTCAAGATGATATAGTCTACAATAAAGTCTGGATTTAATGGACAATCTTTCGAGTCCGTGCGTCGTATGTGAAAATTAACATCCTGTCAATATTAAAATGTAATTAAATTAACGTTTTATTGTTTTTTCAAATCGCAGTGTCCCCCGCTCTTAACTTCCCGCCACAACGGGAATGTCTCGATATACCAACATTTGAAGACGAATAAATAGGAAATGTTTTTTGTATTTTTGTCAAATTTTTATTTTCTTTTCTTTTTAAGAACATTATTTATTTCTTTATTTAAATACAATTAAAGTGTATTTTCCTTAAATATGTTTATTTATATCGATTTAGATCGTATATTTGTTCATTACAGTCTGAGAACTATGGTGATGCATAAGCAATAAATCCATATTTTACTGTAATTCTTATTATTGGAAATATTTCGGTTTACCAGCCCTTCTGAGGTGAGCAAATTGTGGCTACATCAAGGTATGAGTATAATTATTAAAGCAATAAAACTTTTATATATTGACGTTGTTTATTTTGGGTTTCCTGGAGATTTTTCGTTCGAATTCGAACCCGGATCCCCCAGAGCAGCAGGCTGCCATTTTTACCGCTCGGCCATCCGGCCGTCACTACTGCATATTATGCACCAATCTGAAAATTAATTTAAACGTTTTATTTTAGAATCCAATTAACGACTTTTAAAACTTCTAAGACTAATACAGACTGATGTGCGGCACTATAAACCACCTGCAAACACGTAGATCAACGTTCCATATTTTAGAATTTTAAAATGATGGAAACAGTTAGCGATTAAACATAGTAAAATTAAATTTAAAATGTCTGTTGCTCTGCGGAACTCGTGATCGAATCCGGGTAAGAAGTTCATTAATTTTCAGGGGAAATAATGGCGAACCAAAAATTGCCGCCTGAGGCGAGCCAAGTTTATGCTGCCATTTTTCTTTTATCTGATGGCTAAATGGCTGAGGTGTGTAAGGCATCAGCTTATCACTCTGGACATCCAGGATCAAATTTAGGCAAGCAACTTGTATGGAATTTTTCATTGGCAGACTGGCTTGGATGTCAGATTCCTACCCTTTCCACTGATTTCCCCCATTGTTTGACTGAGCAATCACACAATAGATATGGAAGGCCTTATGCCAAGACAAAAACTCAAAAATAAATTATAAAATATGCTAAAAGTGGCAAACATGAGAAGAAAAAAAATGGCATTCAGATTTTAAATAAAAATTGAAGTCTTTTCATTATATGTCAATTACACTTTAATTATAGTATGCCCATGCAATCATCATTAGAAATCATACTTTTCTCAATATATTGAATCACTATGTATTTTTCTGCAACTATACACTGTACCTGGATGGTCAGCGGAGACAAAGTGTCAGACTACCACGGGTTCAAACTGGGTGGGTTGAGAAAAACCCTGAAATTTTTTATAGGCTGGCCTGGCCAAACCCATGATGGGCCTGTGAAGTGCCCACAGGATGGAGTAAAAAAAAAAAAAATTTTGATAAACTCGACAACCTCATGAGTCTCAAACACCATAATATTACCAAATTTAAACACTTGCTTTCTGGTAGCCAATTTTATTTACAACAGGTAACACTTTAATAACTATTTCAGATCATCAGCTTCACAATGAAATATTGGTGTAATGCAAATTTAAAAAAGCATACAAAATCAAATAAAAATTTGAATTTAATTAAAAAGTACATTTTACAAGTAACTTTTAAGATATTGAAAAAATAGGACATTTAAATTCATATAAATAGCAGACAAAATGTTATATCATGAAAGATTACAACAGATTTTATTTCACTGTATTATAATAAAGAAAAATATATAATCCCTTAATTATAAAGCAAAAGAAAATTATAAAAACTATAAATATTTNTTTGCTTTTGTATGGCAACAAATATTAAAATTCCATTGTTTCTGCAACATGTACAACCGTCAATTTTAATTTATAAATGAAAGAATGCACACCATGATTTGCCAAGAATATTATATTCATTAAATTAGAAGCTTTCGGAATTCTGATTTTTTTGGCTCTTTGGGAAGTCTCATATAAATTTATCGCATTAGCATTACGACAGATTTGAAACGAATTCAAGACCACGAGTGGTCATGTCACATTTAAATTATTTTAAAACCAATATTCGAAACAACTTTAATAAACAGACTGGACAATGAGGTGTCACATCTCATTATCTGATCCGCTGTAGTAACCTAACTGGCTGTCCCACCAAGTATGGACTTCTCCAACAACAGATGCCATTTTTGGCATGGGAAGGTGATTAAAGCCGTCTTCTTCTTCTGGAGTGGTTGAAGATAACTCACTGCCCTCACTTAGGTCGGGAAGACCCTTTGAACCTAAAAATGAATCTAAATAAATTAGAAAATAAGGTAATCCAATTAATATATCAAAATTAACCTGCTTGTCTTGCATTCCATTTTTTTACAGAAAACCTATCCTTTTCTGCTCGAGAAGCACTGTCTGACAATGATGGTACTAAAAATTTTCTGCCTCCCTAAATAAAAAATAAAGTATTTATAAAAACTTATTTTTTAATATAGTCATTTAAATAAATTATAAGCTATTTAAGTTAAGCCTGTATATAATTAAGCTTTGGACTTATATGCACAATAAAATTATGTAACATTCATGCAAATATGTATTGTAGGAGAACATTCATCAACACAATTTAATCTTTGAGTCAGATAGGTCACATATATAATGTTTGGATAGAAAACTTTCAATGTGTTAGCCTCCTTCATCATGTATTTAGCAGTCTGTCACAAGCAGGAACACTATAATAGAATATTAATATCAAATATTTTCCTTCAATTAATATTTATAGTTTATAAATAATGTTTTAAAATATGAAACAAAGTATTATGTTACAAATACATTTATGATGAACATTTATAATATTTTATTTTATCAACATTCAATGATAAAGTTTCTTTTCTATTCATTTAAAGAACTGTTCTAATTATGTCCACTTTGAATAAATTCGAATAATAAATCTCATAACAGGTTTTTGGCAATGATATAAAACAATTAACCATATAATATATTAATTCTTTTAAACATGTTTATAATTACTTTTCTATCTTAAAATTTACATATTTAATTTTATAGTTTAATTGTAAAATATAATGTATATATAAGCTTATGTAGTCAACTTTGAAAATTGAGAGGGACCGGAAATTTTGCAATTCATATTTTGGAATATTTCTAGTTTTAAAATCTGAAATTGAATTTCGTTCTGTTGACTTTAAAATGTTGAAATGGGAAAATTTGAGAAGCAAGTTTGATGTAAGATTGAAAATTATTTTAAATTTTAATAGATTTTTGTACTAGAAAAAATGGAGGAGATTCATTTCTCTGAAAAGATCCCAAAATTTAGAAAGTTGATTATATATGCAATATAAACATTTAACAACATTTTGGAAGAACACTTTTCAGACATACAACCCTATACACATAGTATAAACACATATTACTCTTAAAACTAGAACATATATGGGAATACATTTTCTGAAATATTCTCAAGTTATGTTACTTTGTAACATAGCTTAAGTAATTTTAATGAATGTGCAATAAAAATTAGAAGGAAAAAAAAAAAAACTGTGCAATTTGACTAAAAAACATAAAAATTTGCATAAAATGCATTTAATATAAATTAAATAAATACTATCTTACATTCTTTACAGTAGTTAACTGACAATCAAAATTCACATTCCTGATTTATATATAACTTTGATTTAATTTCACTTTTTATTTAATTTTTTAAAATTTATTTTGAAGATATATTTTAAAAAATTAAAATAATTTTTTAAATAACTTTTTAACTGTTTCATTACAATATTATCAATAAAATTAAACACTTTTTATTTATATAACTATTATAACTTTTACATATATATATATATAATTTTTTTCAGTCTCTTTCAACAATTTTATTTTACACAAAATAACAATTTGATTTGCTTTTGTATGGCAACAAATATTAAAATTCCATTGTTTCTGCAACATGTACAACCGTCAATTTTAATTTATAAATGAAAGAATGCACACCATGATTTGCCAAGAATATTATATTCATTAAATTAGAAGCTTTCGGAATTCTGATTTTTTTGGCTCTTTGGGAAGTCTCATATAAATTTATCGCATTAGCATTACGACAGATTTGAAACGAATTCAAGACCACGAGTGGTCATGTCACATTTAAATTATTTTAAAACCAATATTCGAAACAACTTTAATAAACAGACTGGACAATGAGGTGTCACATCTCATTATCTGATCCGCTGTAGTAACCTAACTGGCTGTCCCACCAAGTATGGACTTCTCCAACAACAGATGCCATTTTTGGCATGGGAAGGTGATTAAAGCCGTCTTCTTCTTCTGGAGTGGTTGAAGATAACTCACTGCCCTCACTTAGGTCGGGAAGACCCTTTGAACCTAAAAATGAATCTAAATAAATTAGAAAATAAGGTAATCCAATTAATATATCAAAATTAACCTGCTTGTCTTGCATTCCATTTTTTTACAGAAAACCTATCCTTTTCTGCTCGAGAAGCACTGTCTGACAATGATGGTACTAAAAATTTTCTGCCTCCCTAAATAAAAAATAAAGTATTTATAAAAACTTATTTTTTAATATAGTCATTTAAATAAATTATAAGCTATTTAAGTTAAGCCTGTATATAATTAAGCTTTGGACTTATATGCACAATAAAATTATGTAACATTCATGCAAATATGTATTGTAGGAGAACATTCATCAACACAATTTAATCTTTGAGTCAGATAGGTCACATATATAATGTTTGGATAGAAAACTTTCAATGTGTTAGCCTCCTTCATCATGTATTTAGCAGTCTGTCACAAGCAGGAACACTTTATGATGTCAGATCTTTCCTGGTCACAGAATATCTAAAGCCACATTCACAAGTTGGGCATAAGAAGTTTCATTATTTGTTTTTTTTTTCTTTTCAGCATATGTGATACAATCAGATGTCGTTTAAATTATTCCTTGTCCTCTTTGCATTAACAATATACTGTGCAATAGCACCTGTTGTTTCATCCATCAATACCCAAACAAATATTATCTTCAATATCCTTGAGAATTTCATTTAAAAACTTTTCATCAAGATACTTTTTTCTTAGAGTTGACTTGTGAAGATTTTGATTGCAGTACTTCTCAGGGAATGCTATGTGTTTTATTATTAAGTTTATTCCAAAGAATTCTTGTTGAAAGCTTATATTCCCATGTTTTTAAAAACATATGCATGATGAACTCAGGATATTTTTCTTCCAAATTATAAATTAGAAGTTCAGACTATTTACAAAAAATTAATATAATTTTTGAGTCTATCAATTCTTCCTTTTCACTCACCATAGAAGTACACCTTTTACATTTGTTTGAAGACATCACTTCATTAAAAACAATTAACAATAGGTAAAAATTACATTATTAAAAATGATCAGACGTCAGCCTTTCATTTTAGGTTCTGACACCTATGACATTAAAAATCAAAGTAAATCTTCACACCCAACTGTCAAGTTTATACACTTTGTATCAGGTTCAAACCCTCTAGTGGTGGATACGAGTCTTCAAACAAATGTAAAAGGTGTACTTCTATGGTGAGTGAAAAGGAAGAATTGATAGACTCAAAAATTATATTAATTTTTTGTAAATAGTCTGAACTTCTAATTTATAATTTGTTTTAAAAACATGTTAGATAAAAATGTTTACATTTTTGGATTTTTCTTATACAGTATCTGTTATATCATCTTTTATGATAGTCTGTTTACAAGTGCTGCCTTACCAGAAATCTTTTGGAACAACCTCTGACTAATCTGGCAAAAAATAGTGTTATCATCAATGGGCAAGCAATCTTCATAAAAAACTATCTACTGTTGCATTAAAACTTTTTTACAAAGCTTCTCACTCTAATTGTTAAATAAATATTAAATAGTATTCACCACAGACCAGGAGAATTCACAGATAAACACTCTAGCAGACTTCTTATCAAAGGAAAGTAAGAACAGCCTTTTGAATGATAAAGGATTACGATGAAACAGGGAGAAAATTCCTAGTTTACAATTTTTCTCCCCTAGATCAATTAATTGGTAAAATTATTAGAGAACAGAATAAAAATTCATAACTTTAATTCAATTAATTCAAAGATTTTGAGAATTTGAAAAATGACACACAAAATGTGTTCATTGGCAAATTTCTAACATTTTAATTTTCTGCTCTCATCTGTAACTGGATGATGGAGTAATATTTCTCATGCTTTTTATAGCAGAAACAGACTACAACACAGTGATTGTAACTATAGTCAAGGTCTCATGTTATAAATGTCCCAATGCTATGCATTCAAAGCCAAGGAAATTAAAATTCTGGAAAATTAGCATTCATATGTCACTACTAATTAGCCAAATATTTTTAACAATTTATCAAACCATTGTATCTGCAAACATGTTTTTCAAAATTTCTTGCCCTGGATCATGAAACATAGAGATTTAGCAGTGAGAAATGGTGATAATCAGGAAACAAATGGGACAATTTATACAATGAAATTAAAATATTTTGTGCTGAATGCTGCAATGACATAACTATTGTAATTACAATGTTTAAACATGCTTTTATAACTTTCTTAATTTTCATCTCTGAATTTTTACAACATTGTAAATTATATAATCTATGTAGTTTTATTATATTTTTTGTATATGTAGATATAGAAATAGCTTTATTTTAAAATTTTACCCAAAAAAACATATTATGGTAAAAAACAATATAATGTATATTTCTGAAGGGACCCTGCATTTGCTAGTGATGGCCCTGATTATTATTATTAATAAATAATATAGCAATTTATTTATAGTTAAAACTTAGCTATAACAAATTTCTCATAGTCTTCTGTTCTTACTTGAGAAGAAATACTGTCAGATCTTCCAGGCAATATTCCTTTCTTACGATGACGTATAGATGATCCCTGCTGATCTTCCTTACCTTCTTCTTTTGGTTCAGCTGGGACAGGCTTAACTGCCATTTCTGTACCACCTAATAGTGCTTCAGTTGTTGCTCTTAAACTATTTATTAAACTGGTTTGTTCTTTCAACTAAAATTTAAGAAATTTTTTTATTAATAATTCCAGATTCATCAAAAGCCAATAAAAATTTATGTACCGCTTTTATACGATGTAAGCATTTATCCAACCACTGACGAATAGTCTGTTTTGCTACTTCTTCCTCAATCAGATATTCTAATTCTTCTCTGGCCAAAAGTTCTTCTAGTTGTAACGCTTTGCGTATATCGACAGATCGATAAGATAACATACTGCAAAATATATACATTTTTAATTATAAAAGCAAGATAAAGAATGTGTTTTAAAACTTACTTCAAAACATCATGAAATGTCACATCTTCTCCATTGTGTAAATGTTCCATTTCATAACACATATGTTTAAAAAGTAAGCGATCTCTATCAGGTTCGACTTCTAATCTCCCCTGAAATTTAAATAATTTTTATATCAAAATATGAATATAATATTAATAAAAATTTTAATTAAATATCACTTACCTTTAGCAATCTTAGTAAAAATTTAACTCTTCTCACAGGTATTAAACCCTAAAATTAACATAATTTATTTATTTTATTACAAGAAGTTAAAAGTCTTTCTTGCTCATTTGGGAATGAAAAATCTCCCCAAAGAAAAAATAAAAAAAATCAAAGATACATATTTATGATCTCTTCAATGAAATAAAGACTTACTCTTTGCTGGATGTCTACCATATTCCAAGTACTCTGAAAATTTCTGATATCTGCATAACTCAACAAAGCATCTTCTTCATTAGAATAAAATAACGAGAAATTCTCCATAATGATAGCTAAAAGTAAATTTATGATTATATCTTATTTGTTACTTATACTTAATTTTAAAAAATAAAAAAACATTTACATAAGTTTAATGTAAAAAATAGAACAAATTTAGATAGTAAATTATGAATAAATCTTTTGATTTCATCATTCACAACTGTAACAGAACAAAGTATAATAAATTATATGATTTATAAGTAATTTAATTATATATTACAGGATATCTGGATCATTTTAATTTTGGTTTTTGTTCTCATTATGAAGAAAATAATATCTGAATTAAATTATTATACATTTCTTTAGTATGTTTTAATAAAATAATTCTTACCTACAAGTAAATTTAATACTATATATGTTATGATAACATAAAATGAACAGAAATATATCAAGCTTCCAGTGAAGTTTCCACAATCAGTTTCCCAATAGTTTTCTCCGGGAGTACAATATGGTGGACTTAACTGAAATTTCAATAAAAAGCTTATAAAATGAAATTTTTATTGATTTAATTTAATAAATCAATTCAATCATTGAAAGCAAATAGAATGATCAAAGTTTGCCAATTAAATTAAATTTATTTAACTTTATGATGTCAGATCTTTCCTGGTCACAGAATATCTAAAGCCACATTCACAAGTTGGGCATAAGAAGTTTCATTATTTGTTTTTTTTTTCTTTTCAGCATATGTGATACAATCAGATGTCGTTTAAATTATTCCTTGTCCTCTTTGCATTAACAATATACTGTGCAATAGCACCTGTTGTTTCATCCATCAATACCCAAACAAATATTATCTTCAATATCCTTGAGAATTTCATTTAAAAACTTTTCATCAAGATACTTTTTTCTTAGAGTTGACTTGTGAAGATTTTGATTGCAGTACTTCTCAGGGAATGCTATGTGTTTTATTATTAAGTTTATTCCAAAGAATTCTTGTTGAAAGCTTATATTCCCATGTTTTTAAAAACATATGCATGATGAACTCAGGATATTTTTCTTCCAAATTATAAATTAGAAGTTCAGACTATTTACAAAAAATTAATATAATTTTTGAGTCTATCAATTCTTCCTTTTCACTCACCATAGAAGTACACCTTTTACATTTGTTTGAAGACTCGTATCCACCACTAGAGGGTTTGAACCTGATACAAAGTGTATAAACTTGACAGTTGGGTGTGAAGATTTACTTTGATTTTTAATGTCATAGGTGTCAGAACCTAAAATGAAAGGCTGACGTCTGATCATTTTTAATAATGTAATTTTTACCTATTGTTAATTGTTTTTAATGAAGTGATTTCTTCAAACAAATGTAAAAGGTGTACTTCTATGGTGTGTGAAAAGGAAGAATTGATAGACTCAAAAATTAATTTTTTGTAAATAGTCTGAACTTCTAATTATAATTTGGAAGAAAAATATCCTGAGTTCATCATGCATTTGAAACTATATGCAAATTAAAGATAACTCGTATCCACCACTAGAGGGCTTGAACCTGATACAAAGTGTATAAAACTTGACAGTTTGGTGTGAAGATTTACTTTGATTTTTAATGTTATAGGCGTCAGAACCTAAAATGAAAGGCTGACGTCTGATCATTTTTAATAATGTAATTTTTACCTATTGTTAATTGTTTTTAATGAAGTGATTTCTTCAAACAAATGTAAAAGGTGTACTTCTATGGTGAGTGAAAAGGAAGAATTGATAGACTCAAAAATTATATTAATTTTTTGTAAATAGTCTGAACTTCTAATTTATAATTTGTTTTAAAAACATGTTAGATAAAAATGTTTACATTTTTGGATTTTTCTTATACAGTATCTGTTATATCATCTTTTATGATAGTCTGTTTACAAGTGCTGCCTTACCAGAAATCTTTTGGAACAACCTCTGACTAATCTGGCAAAAAATAGTGTTATCATCAATGGGCAAGCAATCTTCATAAAAAACTATCTACTGTTGCATTAAAACTTTTTTACAAAGCTTCTCACTCTAATTGTTAAATAAATATTAAATAGTATTCACCACAGACCAGGAGAATTCACAGATAAACACTCTAGCAGACTTCTTATCAAAGGAAAGTAAGAACAGCCTTTTGAATGATAAAGGATTACGATGAAACAGGGAGAAAATTCCTAGTTTACAATTTTTCTCCCCTAGATCAATTAATTGGTAAAATTATTAGAGAACAGAATAAAAATTCATAACTTTAATTCAATTAATTCAAAGATTTTGAGAATTTGAAAAATGACACACAAAATGTGTTCATTGGCAAATTTCTAACATTTTAATTTTCTGCTCTCATCTGTAACTGGATGATGGAGTAATATTTCTCATGCTTTTTATAGCAGAAACAGACTACAACACAGTGATTGTAACTATAGTCAAGGTCTCATGTTATAAATGTCCCAATGCTATGCATTCAAAGCCAAGGAAATTAAAATTCTGGAAAATTAGCATTCATATGTCACTACTAATTAGCCAAATATTTTTAACAATTTATCAAACCATTGTATCTGCAAACATGTTTTTCAAAATTTCTTGCCCTGGATCATGAAACATAGAGATTTAGCAGTGAGAAATGGTGATAATCAGGAAACAAATAGGACAATTTATACAATGAAATTAAAATATTTTGTGCTGAATGCTGCAATGACATAACTATTGTAATTACAATGTTTAAACATGCTTTTATAACTTTCTTAATTTTCATCTCTGAATTTTTACAACATTGTAAATTATATAATCTATGTAGTTTTATTATATTTTTTGTATATGTAGATATAGAAATAGCTTTATTTTAAAATTTTACCCAAAAAAACATATTATGGTAAAAAACAATATAATGTATATTTCTGAAGGGACCCTGCATTTGCTAGTGATGGCCCTGATTATTATTATTAATAAATAATATAGCAATTTATTTATAGTTAAAACTTAGCTATAACAAATTTCTCATAGTCTTCTGTTCTTACTTGAGAAGAAATACTGTCAGATCTTCCAGGCAATATTCCTTTCTTACGATGACGTATAGATGATCCCTGCTGATCTTCCTTACCTTCTTCTTTTGGTTCAGCTGGGACAGGCTTAACTGCCATTTCTGTACCACCTAATAGTGCTTCAGTTGTTGCTCTTAAACTATTTATTAAACTGGTTTGTTCTTTCAACTAAAATTTAAGAAATTTTTTTATTAATAATTCCAGATTCATCAAAAGCCAATAAAAATTTATGTACCGCTTTTATACGATGTAAGCATTTATCCAACCACTGACGAATAGTCTGTTTTGCTACTTCTTCCTCAATCAGATATTCTAATTCTTCTCTGGCCAAAAGTTCTTCTAGTTGTAACGCTTTGCGTATATCGACAGATCGATAAGATAACATACTGCAAAATATATACATTTTTAATTATAAAAGCAAGATAAAGAATGTGTTTTAAAACTTACTTCAAAACATCATGAAATGTCACATCTTCTCCATTGTGTAAATGTTCCATTTCATAACACATATGTTTAAAAAGTAAGCGATCTCTATCAGGTTCGACTTCTAATCTCCCCTGAAATTTAAATAATTTTTATATCAAAATATGAATATAATATTAATAAAAATTTTAATTAAATATCACTTACCTTTAGCAATCTTAGTAAAAATTTAACTCTTCTCACAGGTATTAAACCCTAAAATTAACATAATTTATTTATTTTATTACAAGAAGTTAAAAGTCTTTCTTGCTCATTTGGGAATGAAAAATCTCCCCAAAGAAAAAATAAAAAAAATCAAAGATACATATTTATGATCTCTTCAATGAAATAAAGACTTACTCTTTGCTGGATGTCTACCATATTCCAAGTACTCTGAAAATTTCTGATATCTGCATAACTCAACAAAGCATCTTCTTCATTAGAATAAAATAACGAGAAATTCTCCATAATGATAGCTAAAAGTAAATTTATGATTATATCTTATTTGTTACTTATACTTAATTTTAAAAAATAAAAAAACATTTACATAAGTTTAATGTAAAAAATAGAACAAATTTAGATAGTAAATTATGAATAAATCTTTTGATTTCATCATTCACAACTGTAACAGAACAAAGTATAATAAATTATATGATTTATAAGTAATTTAATTATATATTACAGGATATCTGGATCATTTTAATTTTGGTTTTTGTTCTCATTATGAAGAAAATAATATCTGAATTAAATTATTATACATTTCTTTAGTATGTTTTAATAAAATAATTCTTACCTACAAGTAAATTTAATACTATATATGTTATGATAACATAAAATGAACAGAAATATATCAAGCTTCCAGTGAAGTTTCCACAATCAGTTTCCCAATAGTTTTCTCCGGGAGTACAATATGGTGGACTTAACTGAAATTTCAATAAAAAGCTTATAAAATGAAATTTTTATTGATTTAATTTATTAAATCAATTCAATCATTGAAAGCAAATAGAATGATCAAAGTTTGCCAATTAAATTAAATTTATTTATTCTTCCAAGTTAATTATTAAGCATACTTTTATAATTTATTATTAACTTTTAAAAAGGTACATTTCAAATAATTAATTTGCATCCTGTGATTTAAAAAAACAATGAATTCCCAAAATCTACACTTTGTTGTTTCATTATAACATTTCAATACATTATTTTCAAAATTTCTTTATTTAATGTGGCTGTCTTTCATATTATATGCTTTTGTCCTTCTGACAATTTTCCCTGCTTTTTGTTCTTTCCACCTTCTAGAACTTCTAATCTTCTTAATTATTCTTTCTTGGAGGTAAGGGTCAGTTCCTAGAATTCACTATCATCATATGCAAGGTTACCTGAGGGCATACGAAGAAAAGGAAGATCACAAAGAAAGATGGCCATGAAAAGAGAGAGACATTACAGTGTTCAGTGACCTGGAGACAAGTGAGGATAAAACTTTGAATGAAAATTTTGAAATTTCTGGGCCGAAGTTATTGTGTTAGAACCAGCATTTCATCTTTTGGAGTCTGAATGTGATAATGACTTTTAGGATAAAATATACAAGAAACGCCCTCAAGAACTGAGGGAAAGAAAGAAAGAAGCAAGTATTTGCATATAAGAAATTCGCATGTGGCCCTCATGGCAAACGAAACACCCAGGTATTCTTTCCTATCCTGTCTTCCATCTTCACTACTTCTCACCCTCTTATTTTCAATTTTCTTTAATTAAAGTAAGTGTAGTATTTAGAGTTAGTTTTAGGAAAATTATTATTGTAATAATTATTCTTGTTTATAATATTGAATTATTGTGATTGCGATTTGGTGTGATATGGCTATCTTATTTTTGTAATTGTTCTGCTGAAGATCAGGTTTAGGGTTACTGCCAGAGTAACTGCCCTAAAGTTGGATCCTTTACTGAACTTGTACATAGTTATAACATGCAAAAATAAATTGAGTTTTACTTGTGAAAAATGTCAATCAAATACAGAAAACTTTAGAACAAACCTATTTTCTCAAAATATTAATACAGTATTCTCTTCCAATGTATTAGGCATATTTTATCATGCTAAAAGCTCAGTTAAACTACACTGTTATAAAAAACAGCAGAACTACAAACTTGTCAATTTAAAATTTTGCAATTAATGTTTAATAATAATAATAATTTTTATAACAGATTAAATGCAAATTTTTCCATTTCTTAAAATTATAAAATTCTAGAAAGTAATGTTTATGGTCATGGCTCTTAAGATGGGAAGAAAGCTAGGGATTTTTTCCTGAGTCTAAGAAAACTTAGAGGCCAATCTTGCTTTCTACCCCATATAAAATTAATGTTATTTTTACTAACAGAAAATAAAATCTTTAAGACTACTTTTTATTAATTACAATAACAGTCCATGTACAATAAGACCCCACTTAATGTGGGGGATATGGTACGTTCCTAGATGACAAAGCACTAAACAAAACAGCATTAAACAAGGTCATTTTAACACAGATTAAATAGAGAAAGGGGAACATGCAATCAAAAATAAACAGATTTTACTTTAATTTTAAGTTATTTTTATATTAATTTTCATAATAATATATGTTAAATAACACACAAAAATGTAAAGTTCATTTTTTGTGATGAAGGTCCAGACTCTTCTTAAATTCTTGTTTTTTGTGAAAAGTCATGTAGTTTCATTTGTCGCTTTCTTTTTCTTTCCTTAAGCAAATGTTGATAGCAAGAGATCACATCCAAAACGCCTCATCTTGCTTTTGCACTCCTTTCAAAATCTGGATCATTTGCTACAGTTTGATCAACAATTTTGGTTATCGTTACCAAACTTTTAATAAGGAAATCTGTAGAGAAATTCTTTGGGTTCTTTGTTTTCAGAATCACTATTTTCCAGTTCTACATGAATTCCTTGTTCTGTCAGTTCTTGAAGGTCATCATTGGTAAGGCTCTCATCAGTAACTCTTCAATATCCTGCTCGTCTACATCTCCTAGTCCTGTATATTAATTAGGTTGACAATATGGTCAACCCAACGATACAACAATAGACTTTTCTTGTTGAGAAATCTTGGATATCTACAGCCATAACTTCTTACACAACTCCGTTCATGCATTTATCAGTTAATTCTTGCTAAGCAAAGTTGATATTGCCTATGGAATCCATGATGTTATGTTTTTCAAAATTGCACCAAACAAACATAGATTTAAGGAAAGTACAGTGCCATGATGAATTGTCACCTTTTGCTGATTGGTTTTTGTTCAAGAATAATTGTATTATATACGAATCAATGAAATGCTGCATTAATTTAAATAAGTGTACATTTTGAGCATTTTCTTAAGCTTCGAGCAGACTGCATTATATCAAATTAGCATTAATTGAGGCAGCATTAAGCAGAGTCTTACTGTATTTCATTTGTTCAAAAAAACAATGGATAAAGTTGTCTGTTAAGAAAGGGGCCCATTCTACCTCCTGGCCCTATATAAGTTCTCAACAGCACTGTTTTGTTTAGAAATGACATCACTTTCTGAAAAAATATAAATTTTTTTTACTCTTTCCACCCTGTGGGCACTAAGAGGGGCCTCTTTTTGCAAGCCCATTATGGGTTTGACCAGGCCCACAATGGGGTTGCTGGGTGGTGAGGGACAGGGCCCAACATATCTGAATGGACCATCCCCCAAAAAATTCCTGGGGATTTTTCGACCCGTTCGGATTCAAACCCAGGTCCCCCAGAGTGGGAGGCTGCCACCTTGACTGCTCGGCCATCCGATCGCTTGGAGAAATATAATGTGAAATATTCTAATAATTTAAGATATAATAAATTAAAATAAGTACACTAGATTTGGCTTAATTAATAAATTCAGCAATATTATGAAGTTAAAATGTTCACAAGATGGAGCAATGAGGTAAGAATTAAACAGAAAATAATTTTATCATCTATATTAAAATTATTTTCTGTTTAATTTTGTTCAAAATGGTAATTTTGAACAAAATAATTTTTATGAAATCCTTTTAATAGGATTTCATAAAAATTATCTTTTTTGTTTTAATACTTTTAATTTTGTACAGCAAATATATGAATAGATAATTGTCAGAAGATGGAAGTTGATAAAGAAATGTCTCTGAGTAAACAGACAATTTTTCAGACACTTCAATAGCAAAAGAAAAACTATGATTGTGTGAGGCTGGGACATCACCCTCCAACGGGAAACGAACCATTGAACCAACATCAATAAATGAGTGACTTATTCCTGTAAACAGAACAGGGGCTATGGAGAAATGGGATGCAATGTGATTTAATTGTCACATTCCCAAGATTTAATTGACACATTCCTGGTCGTAGATCATGACAGAGAGCAGAAGAGTGACAGCTAAGAGAGTTCTGGCAGTCACCTTAGACTGAGTTCAAAGTGAAAAAAGTGAATGCTTTTTCAAAGGGAGGTGGCAGCTGGGATGTACAAACCTAGCTGCATCTTCTCCAAGACAGGAGAAGATGCACCTAGGTTTGTACGGTCAGTAATTTATGGGACAATCGCTCGGGAACAAGCATGACCTTATCTCAGGGAGAGTGGTCCATGCGAGGGTGTTTGATAACCCCGTAACTCGATTTGCATCCCTAGCAACAGGTCAGGGACCAATAGAGTTGTAAGAAACCACCAGTTCAGACCAACCAAAAATCGGGATTTCGGGTGAAAATAGTATAAAAGCTTGAGATATCAAGGACACAGGAAAGTTATGATTGAGATCACCAGTCCCCATAATTGACATCTGGATCGTCTGAGAAGGTGGAAGAAGACCCAAAATCTCCAAACGAGGACAGAATAGACTCAAGTTTCCAATGCCAATTTCTCTGCTCTGGGACCTCCAACTCTCTGACTTTCACCAAGAAACAGAAGGGAGAACTACAGATGAACTTTCTCTTTGGAGTGAGTGCCTCAAGATTTGGCTCCAATAAACGTCAGGACAGACTTTCCATTTTCCTCCTGGTGTCTTAAGTTTGACAAGGCCAGCACTTTACTTAATTGCAAGCATGTTTTATCTTATTGAATGCAATTAATTTTGTCAATCTGGTATCTGTGTGAGTCTCTTTGTCCTAACCACTACCGCATATGTTAAAAAATTCTCATGCCATCCTGTTAAGTTACAGAAAAAGCCAGTATTTCTGTCTTCCACACAGACAGACCATTGTCGGGGAGAGCCCCTGGTGGTGGCTTTCCTTGCAATAGACTTTTCATTAAAATATTTCAAAAAAATAATAATAATCATAATAATAATAGTAATGAATAAAAGGTATTGATTTTACAAGTTTAATAAAAATCCAGCTTATATACTTTACAACCGAAATTTTGTCCACTATATAATTGATTTTTGTCCACAATATCAATATAGAGTAATAAACAAGTCAATATTACTATATATTGTAGAATCTCCTTGTATTTGCAGTAACAATTTTTTTTTCCTCTGAAATGAGGAAAAAAAATATATCAATTTGTTACCTGGACATAGAGAAAGCATCCATGAACTGCAGATATTTTCTCCAGGTTAGTTATTGAGATCTGTTCTAACATGATTCTATTGTATAGTAATGGACGAGTCCATAATAACAAGTAATCATGATAAAATGAACCTTCATTATAATAGACCAATTTCTTCAGTCCCATGATGGTCTGTTATATCAGGCTTTTGCCATATATCACAGATATTTTTATGAATTTAATATAAATATTTTTGCAATTCAAAACTTATTATATTATAGTAAACTTACATGAAAAAATTATATACATATAAAAAGATTTATGTCATAGCTTATATAATTCAGAGAACAGTTTTAATCAAAATAATTTACTTTTTTCTGCTGTTCTCTATTAATAATGTTACTAATAGATCTTGAAAATTTTATTAATATTTTTAAAGTTTAATTTCTAAACAAACAGCAATAAAGACACAAAATTATTTACCATACAGTCGTGCATAATTTTATTCCAATCTTCTCCTGTTACAATTCGAAAAAGCATAGCTATGCCACTAGGAACAGTCTGAAAATTTGCATGTCTGCGTAACAAAAATATATTTAAATTTTCAAAAAATAAAACTATTCACTTATATTAAAACAAAAGTTTAAGATTTTATTACCTCCCTATGTTTTCTCCAAATTTGACAGTTCCAAATAGAATGACTCCAGTCAGAGCATAAAACAGGATTAATAGGAACATTCCCATTATGATAAAGAAACTTTTATAAACTGATACAACCACAGTCAGCATCAACATCTTCAATGTAGCCTATTTAAAAATACAGAATAATAATAATAAATTAGATATTTAAAATAAATTATTTTTTTATAAGCATTAAAAACAATTGTTTTTATTAACTTAATTAAACTATTATCTTTACTTCAAAAGATCTTTAACTCTTATTCATTTTTCACTCTAAGTACATGTTAAATTTTATAACAAAATTTAATATTTCAATTTTTAGAATTAGTATGTAATAGCAAAATGTATTTTATAGATCAATTTACTTTGCATTTTTGCATTCATTATTGTTTTCAATCAGCACTTAATGTAAAGAATTAGTTAATTAAAAGCATTCACCAAACTTACATGTTTTCCTGTAATCGTGAAGAACCTGAATATCACAACTGCAAATCCAAATGAATGACTTAAATCATTCTGAAATTATATTTTAAAATCTTGTAATCATTAGCTTTGAATTTAAAGAAGATTTTAAATATCTAAAAGTAATTTTGAACTAATAATAATACTTCAGATAACAATTTCTTTTTAAAAATATTATTATTGTTTTGAATATTGGTTAAAATTTTATCCCTGCTGATGTTAGAATAATTTTACTTTCTACTAATTATCACAGAATTTAATTATTAGAAATAAAATTGTTATATTTAATTAAAAGTATGATTGATTGGAGAAATAAAAGCCAATTTAACAATAGAACTAACCTTGTATTGACTATTTATTATCTAAAATAAAAAGTTCTTTTTTTTACGATTAAATACTGAAATCAATAAAGAATATTTAAACATCTATACTGCATTAGCTACTTTGATATATTTGAGAAATTTTTAAAATTTTATAGGAAATTTCTAATTTTTTCATATAAAAAATAGTAGAGAGCCACTAGTAATTGTAGCCAGTTTTCTTGATATGTCAGGGTCTGTCCCAAAAGTTCTTGGTTTAATTTTTTTTCTTGCAAATCAAGACAATTTTACACTAGAAACATAATTAAAATTTATTAAACATTGTTATCCAAGTGAGTTATAATTTTCTTCAAATCTTATCATAAAGTTTTAGAAACTTCTCAAAAAAACAACAATGTATTAAAAAATACTGCAGTAAATAAGAAAAAACATAAGATGTTTTTGTCCAGTGACACATTATCCTTAGGATAATGAGAGTTCAAATAGAAAAAAAAATCTTAAAAAAATTCAAAATCCAAACATCTTAACAGATTTATAACAATATTTTTTTACTTTTTATGGTTTTAACACTTTAGAGTGTATTTTTCTTCTAAAAACAAAATAAGTTTATTCTGAAAATGTTTAATATGACAAAAATTCTGACATACAACAATAAAACTGTTTTTAAATATAATTTTCAGTTAAATAGAAATAAAAGACTGGAAGATTTTATACAAAATGTTCTGTCGATTATTTAAAATTCATAATTCAGAATAGTAATTTTGATATAAATCTAATTATTTTCAAAATACTCACCCTTAACATGAAGTGCATCACCACCCAAATTACACCAATGAATGTGACAAACAGGTCGTAGCGGTTCCTTCTGCTTTGCCAATAACCACGAGGTGTAAAAGCAATGGTTTTCATCACTACCTACAATTTTAATAGATTTGAATCAAAACTTAAATCAATGTAAGATAAAAGCAGAGAAAAGTAGATGTTGGATCTCTGTGTCAGAATACAATTCTCTGATAACACATTGTGTTAGTAGAGAATTGTATGTAAAGCATGGAAAGGGAAATTTTTTGTTTAATATGTCATATCAACCAAATATTCCATTTTAACAGTTTGGTATCCCTATTGTCGAGATGGTAAACCTAAAAGCAATAGCAAAAACAATTATTCATTTAAATTTCCAAAAAAAAAAACAGAACTGTACATGATGCGGATAGAAAAATAAATTTGGTTAACAAATGAGAAACTAGAAGGTCACATTACATATCATCATTCCAAAAACATTTCAAACAGAATATTGAAGAATAAAAACTGCTGATTGTAAGTGAAGATCAAGAAAGAATAGAATATTTGTCATCAAAAATACAATAATGTGGATAATAGTTTACTAAGAAAAATGAAAAAAAAAACAAACTTTTTTTTCAAGGAAAAAAATCATCAGAATAACACTGTTCCAATATTTAAACACTGATCTGAATACACAAGAGTTCTACCATTCTTTCGTTATTTGCAGGTCTGAATCTAATTTAGCGATTTGTCCTCTTCACTTGCTATTTCTTTACTGGTTTCCTCACTTTGATTAGCTTGGAGAAAGTAACAGATTAGTTTGTATAGCTGTTACATTTGAAGTACATACATGTGCTGAAATTGCAAATGCTATAAGAGAATTCTGAAAAATTTGTAAATCTGTCAAACAGAAACATAGGAATACATTATTGTATTTGGTGTGATCAAATGAAATGCCTGCTATCATTTAAGGGAATCGAAAAGCTACATACAATAGCATCCAAGTTTAAATTTCACACACAACTATATGGTTCCTCTAGATGACACAGTTGGGATACAATAAGGTGTATGCACTGTGGGTTCCTGTTCATCATAGGGACCAATGAATGTGGTTAGTGCTGTAGCATATTACCAGGCAGAGGGTGACATTTTTCTCCAGTGCAGTGCATAGTGACAGTTCAGAGAATATAGTGTCACCACTTTGAACCATCAAGCAAGTCCTTAAAGGTTTAAGTGCAGTAGAAATACCTGCAGTCCACCACATCCCAAAAGTCCAGCTAGTAAGTTGATTCTTTGAGTTAATTGAAGACAAAGACTGTCCAAAAAAATTTTTGGACAGTCTTTGTCTTCAATTAACTCAAAAAATATCAACTGATGAAATTTCATTATTATAAGTTAATTCTTATCATCTTCTGGGCCACAAGAGACCTCTGTTAGTACAGTTTTAAAAAATGGACACAATAATCAACACACAGCATTATCTACAGACATTGAACCTCCATCGTGTCTTAAAGAAGAATTTAGGTTTCTTCACCTTAGGTGTTAGTCTTCTATACAATAATGATCATCCACTGTTAAACTCTTGCCAAAAAGAGATGGAAAATTCTGAAGCATCCTGTATAGTCCTGAGCTGTTGACATATGACTATTTTTTGTTTGAGCTGCTTAAGAAAGCTTTTGGCAGATGATATCTCACAGATGATGTGAAAGCCATGTTCATCGGTAGTAAAAAGAACAGGAACTCTCCTCCTTTGCAGATGGCATAAAGCAACTGCTGCAATGTTGGGATGCCTGCTTTCAGGCAGATGAATTAATGCATGCCAAAAGTCTCTATACTGCTATTGACATATTCTTCTACATGCTTATCCTAGTGTCACATAATAAATGTGATTTTCTTGGTACTTATAGCTGTTGAATGAGTTTATTTGATGGTCATGTCTAATAGTTAAGTATAAGCCAAAAGATTGCTATATCAATTCAATATGACAATTATTTGAACATTGGGCTTTGAAATATTTATATATGTGAAGCTAAGCATAACCATCTGTAACATCTGTTTCTTATAAAATAAATAAAACAATATAAATAAACTTTTATTCATGTTTGTTTTTATTAAAGTATTATTAGTAAAAAGTAAAATGAGAATCAAACTATAATAGAAATTGGAAAGAAGTAAAGAAAGAAGACAATTTTTCAGAATATTCTGTTATTTCATATATTTTAAATCATTAAAATGAAAATAATTTATACTAAAGGATTGAGTATCTTATTTTCTAACCTCCTTTTATAGCTATATTATGTACAGATAACTTACTTCAATGGTGAAAAGTACTGTGAAGGAAGCAGATACAGTGGCTAAAGGCATCGTATAGTTTTCATCTGATCTCCACTACAGGTTATTTTTTGAAAGGAATATATTCATTAAATTAATAAACATAATAAAATTTAAAAAACAATGTAAGTGAACGAAAGACTTATTTACGCTAACGCATAGAAGACTGCTGTTTGCCAATACTAATAAAGCGATAAAACGCTTAAAGAAAAGTTTCTGGGTTATATCATATATAAAAGCTCTGATTTTGTGACTGTCGGGTCGGGGTGGTAAATGGAGTGGCTGAGCTATTTTAAGTCTCTTCTTTAAATCACACCATCTTCTTTGGTCGACGGTAAGTAAAGCTGTTCCCTAAATATCAAATAACATTTTTTAATGTTTCTTTAATATTATAGAAACAAATTCAAAAATATTACCTTATTTTCACTGTAATTAGCAATGACTACACCAACAAATAAAGTGAGTCCAATCATACAACCAAGAAACACAAAAATATGTATATAAATGGCATGGACCTATAGAAATAAATATAAAAATTTAATTTAATTTAAAAATAAACAGAAAAATCTTAAATTTTGGAATGATATGCCGTTAATATTTTAAACATTTTTTTAATAAGAAATTATTAAGTTGAATAAGAAAATAGGTATTAAAAAACCTAGCTCTTTTACAAAATAGACTTACAGGACCTAATCTCTGAAGTAATACATCACGAATATCCAACCATCCTTTGAAGGATAAAACTTCGAAAAGAGCCAGCATAGCATTGCCTACATTGTCAAAGTTGAATCTGCGAGGATTGGCCCTAGAGAGAAATTTGTTAGCCTACAGATGAATGGTTAATAAAGGCAAAACTACTTATGGATACACATTAGGGAGTTAATTAATGCAATGCCAGGCAATAAAAGAATCTGCAGAGTGAAAAATATTCAATTATTAAGCTGAAGTATATAATACAAATGCATTATATCAGGAATGCTTATTGAAAGTGCAGAGATGATGTAGCATTTGAATACCCATTCTTATAACCCAAATTAGTATTGTTATCCGAATAATCATAATTTAATTAAATAATGCCACAATTTAAAATCGTGTTGCAAAGCTAAAAGCCAAAAATGCAAGACGTAATAGAAAAAGTTTAAAAGAAAGTAATATAAAAATATTGCAAAGATATGGAGGTCCCAGACTCACATCCCCAACTTGAGCAGTGATAATTTCACGTACTTCAGCGTATCCCTCGTAGGAGAGGATTTCAAATAAGGTCAAAAGAGCATTACCAATGTTGTCAAAGTCGAAATTACGGGGATTGGCCCTATAGAAATGAAAGAATGCTGCACTTCTTATTTTAGTTCATTTTAATAAGAAAATATTAAAAATACATATAAATATATTAAAAAGTCTTAAAGTTGAAAGTATATTAACCATAAAAATTTTNATAATAATATATGTTAAATAACACACAAAAATGTAAAGTTCATTTTTTGTGATGAAGGTCCAGACTCTTCTTAAATTCTTGTTTTTTGTGAAAAGTCATGTAGTTTCATTTGTCGCTTTCTTTTTCTTTCCTTAAGCAAATGTTGGTAGCAAGAGATCACATCCAAAACGCCTCATCTTGCTTTTGCACTCCTTTCAAAATCTGGATCATTTGCTACAGTTTGATCAACAATTTTGGTTATCGTTACCAAACTTTTAATAAGGAAATCTGTAGAGAAATTCTTTGGGTTCTTTGTTTTCAGAATCACTATTTTCCAGTTCTACATGAATTCCTTGTTCTGTCAGTTCTTGAAGGTCATCATTGGTAAGGCTCTCATCAGTAACTCTTCAATATCCTGCTCGTCTACATCTCCTAGTCCTGTATATTGATTAGGTTGACAATATGGTCAACCCAACGATACAACAATAGACTTTTCTTGTTGAGAAATCTTGGATATCTACAGCCATAACTTCTTACACAACTCCGTTCATGCATTTATCAGTTAATTCTTGCTAAGCAAAGTTGATATTGCCTATGGAATCCATGATGTTATGTTTTTCAAAATTGCACCAAACAAACATAGATTTAAGGAAAGTACAGTGCCATGATGAATTGTCACCTTTTGCTGATTGGTTTTTGTTCAAGAATAATTGTATTATATACGAATCAATGAAATGCTGCATTAATTTAAATAAGTGTACATTTTGAGCATTTTCTTAAGCTTCGAGCAGACTGCATTATATCAAATTAGCATTAATTGAGGCAGCATTAAGCAGAGTCTTACTGTATTTCATTTGTTCAAAAAAACAATGGATAAAGTTGTCTGTTAAGAAAGGGGCCCATTCTACCTCCTGGCCCTATATAAGTTCTCAACAGCACTGTTTTGTTTAGAAATGACATCACTTTCTGAAGAAATATAAATTTTTTTTACTCTTTCCACCCTGTGGGCACTAAGAGGGGCCTCTTTTTGCAAGCCCATTATGGGTTTGACCAGGCCCACAATGGGGTTGCTGGGTGGTGAGGGACAGGGCCCAACATATCTGAATGGACCATCCCCCAAAAAATTCCTGGGGATTTTTCGACCCGTTCGGATTCAAACCCAGGTCCCCCAGAGTGGGAGGCTGCCACCTTGACTGCTCGGCCATCCGATCGCTTGGAGAAATATAATGTGAAATATTCTAATAATTTAAGATATAATAAATTAAAATAAGTACACTAGATTTGGCTTAATTAATAAATTCAGCAATATTATGAAGTTAAAATGTTCACAAGATGGAGCAATGAGGTAAGAATTAAACAGAAAATAATTTTATCATCTATATTAAAATTATTTTCTGTTTAATTTTGTTCAAAATGGTAATTTTGAACAAAATAATTTTTATGAAATCCTTTTAATAGGATTTCATAAAAATTATCTTTTTTGTTTTAATACTTTTAATTTTGTACAGCAAATATATGAATAGATAATTGTCAGAAGATGGAAGTTGATAAAGAAATGTCTCTGAGTAAACAGACAATTTTTCAGACACTTCAATAGCAAAAGAAAAACTATGATTGTGTGAGGCTGGGACATCACCCTCCAACAGGAAACGAACCATTGAACCAACATCAATAAATGAGTGACTTATTCCTGTAAACAGAACAGGGGCTATGGAGAAATGGGATGCAATGTGATTTAATTGTCACATTCCCAAGATTTAATTGACACATTCCTGGTCGTAGATCATGACAGAGAGCAGAAGAGTGACAGCTAAGAGAGTTCTGGCAGTCACCTTAGACTGAGTTCAAAGTGAAAAAAGTGAATGCTTTTTCAAAGGGAGGTGGCAGCTGGGATGTACAAACCTAGCTGCATCTTCTCCAAGACAGGAGAAGATGCACCTAGGTTTGTACGGTCAGTAATTTATGGGACAATCGCTCGGGAACAAGCATGACCTTATCTCAGGGAGAGTGGTCCATGCGAGGGTGTTTGATAACCCCGTAACTCGATTTGCATCCCTAGCAACAGGTCAGGGACCAATAGAGTTGTAAGAAACCACCAGTTCAGACCAACCAAAAATCGGGATTTCGGGTGAAAATAGTATAAAAGCTTGAGATATCAAGGACACAGGAAAGTTATGATTAAGATCACCAGTCCCCATAATTGACATCTGGATCGTCTGAGAAGGTGGAAGAAGACCCAAAATCTCCAAACGAGGACAGAATAGACTCAAGTTTCCAATGCCAATTTCTCTGCTCTGGGACCTCCAACTCTCTGACTTTCACCAAGAAACAGAAGGGAGAACTACAGATGAACTTTCTCTTTGGAGTGAGTGCCTCAAGATTTGGCTCCAATAAACGTCAGGACAGACTTTCCATTTTCCTCCTGGTGTCTTAAGTTTGACAAGGCCAGCACTTTACTTAATTGCAAGCATGTTTTATCTTATTGAATGCAATTAATTTTGTCAATCTGGTATCTGTGTGAGTCTCTTTGTCCTAACCACTACCGCATATGTTAAAAAATTCTCATGCCATCCTGTTAAGTTACAGAAAAAGCCAGTATTTCTGTCTTCCACACAGACAGACCATTGTCGGGGAGAGCCCCTGGTGGTGGCTTTCCTTGCAATAGACTTTTCATTAAAATATTTCAAAAAAATAATAATAATCATAATAATAATAGTAATGAATAAAAGGTATTGATTTTACAAGTTTAATAAAAATCCAGCTTATATACTTTACAACTGAAATTTTGTCCACTATATAATTGATTTTTGTCCACAATATCAATATAGAGTAATAAACAAGTCAACATTACTATATATCAGTGATTCTCAAACTTTTTCGATCCCCCGCCCCCTTTGTTCCATAAAGTTATACCCAACGCCCCCTAACCCATTTTCTCTTGTGTGAGAAAAGGATTGGAAATATTCTTAGGAAAACTTTTCTATGAATCTCACACTTTGTGCCCTTACTGTACATTGTTCTCATCATCTGGAAACCATTAAACGCAATGTTTCCTCTTATCAGCCCCAATTTTGCCTTTGGTCACCGTTCAATACCCTGCCTCTATCATAGATCTATTCATCGCGCCAGAAGGGGGC